GCCCTTTAGAAGATATTCTGAAGGTAATCAACGCGATTGGATACTGGTGAACAGCCGCATGAGATCGGTTCGACTTCGAACTTATTGAGGTTAATAAGCACCGTACGAAGACAAGGCGTCTATCGCCTCCGTTTATGCTCCTCCTGACCGCAGTTCGGAGGGTACTTAAGGTGATTTCTAATACTATCTATCATCTCTTCTCCATATGGTGAAAAAACTGACATCGTGATTGCTGCTGGCGACTTGAATGCCTAAACGGGTCGTTTCTCAGATTCTAAATAAAAACTAGGAGGGCGCTTTGGAGTTCATGCATGCCGAACTGACAACAGCGATCGATTCCTGCAGCCGTGTACCGACCAAAATGTTTAGATTAGCAGCACTGCTATCCAGTACAAAGATTTACATCGTGTCACCTGGCGCCCACCGAATTCGTCAATAAACTGGAGCCAAATTGACCATACTGCCTTCAGTTACAGATGCCGGCCAATTTGGAGCATGTGATTGGATTTTGATCATGCTCTAGCGTGTGCATGCTTGGTGCTCGCACTTCTCACTTCAAAAAAGTGTACGTCTTCTAACCTTCTTACCTGTAACTTGAACTCAGTGTGCGGTGTAACAATATCATAACGAATTGGCTCACGGATGGATAGTGATGACGAGGTTGGTGAGCCGAACGCCGATTGGGTTCGTCTCAAACGCGTTATGAAGAATGCCTTTGACGCTTGCTGTGCACCGGACTTGAGAAGTCGTAACCGTGAACGGATCAACGAGGCATCGACCAATTTTTTCGAAGCGCGTAAACAGGTTCCGAGGGGCAATGAATTTCAGCGTGTAACAAAACTCCCGGAAATGAAGTCTCACAAAGAGTCTTCGAGTAGACTGGAAACGGTGGTGGGTTGCAAAGGCCAGAGAGATGGTGAAAGCCAGTGCTATTGGAAACAGGCGGGTGCTATATCAGCTCATTCGGAACACGGGTCAGAGAAAGCCATCAGTTAGCAAGACAATAGCTGAGAAAGGTGGACTGTTGACCCATTCTAAACATCGTCGACTAGCCTCTTGGGCGGAAGATTTTGAGGAGCAGATCAATAGGCCTGCTGTGACACTGCCGCTTGCCGAATCACCTCCCACTTTGAAAGACATTTGACATGAGCGCGCCGTGTTAAAACCAAACAAGGCTCCGGGACCCGACGAGCTGCCCATCTCTGTTAGAAGATGACGGTGACTTTGTTCACTGAACTTGCCTCTCTATTTAAGAAGAATTGGGACATTAAGGAAGTGCTTTCAGACGGGCGCCTATCAGCTGTCGCGCACATTTTCAGGAGAGGTCAGCGTACTTTGAGCGAAAATTACCAAAAAATCAGCCTAATTTTCAGTGCCTTCAAACTTTTCACGGGAATCATTCTTCGACGACTTACTGGTCCCGGTGAAGACCGAATCACTGAAAGCCAGGCTGGCTTCCGCCCTGGCCGTGGTTGCATCGCACAAACGTTCACATCGTATCACCTTGCTTCCACTGATTTCCTCAGTGAACTAAACCCAAATTGACCATATTGCCGTCAGCTACAGATGGCGCACATCAGTCCAAGACTGTCGGCCCGTATGGGACAAATGCCTGAGTTTCAGCCATGCTCCGGTTCGGGCACGCCTGGTGCTCACTTTTTCCGCTTCGATGAAGCACCTAACTTGTTACTTGAACTCGCAGTCCGTAGTTCAACATTGTCATGGGGAACTGGCCCACCAATTGTCGGTGGTAAATGAGGTTTGTGAGCCTAATGCCGGCTGAAGTTGTCCCAAGTGTGCCACAAAGAATGGTTTCGATGACTACTTCACGTCTGATTTGAGACGCCGAAACTATATGTTGATCAATGAGCCATCGATTATTGTGATCATAGCATGGAAACTGGTTGCAATGGGTACTGAGTTTCAACATGCGCGTTACCTCCTGAGACGACCTCTCACAAGGAATTACCGTATTTACTTGAAACATTGGTGGTTGGCAAGCGTCCGTGGAATGGAGAAAGTTATTCGGAACAGCGGAATGCTGTACCAGCTCATCCGGAACACTGCTCTAAGAAGTCTTTCTTTGCTGGGAGATATAAGTAACTCTTGACTGGACTTGCTTCTCTATTTAACAAGATTTGGGACATTGGAAGTGCTTTCAAACTGGCGCCTATCAACTGTTGTGCCTATTTTCAGGAGGGGTCAGCGTACTTTGAGCGAAAATCACCGAGGCATCAGCCTAATTTCCCGTGCCATCAAACTTTTCACAGGAATCATTCTTCGACGACTTACTGGTCCCTGTGAAGACCGAATCACTGAAAGCCAGGCTGACCTCCGCCCTGGCCGTGGTTGCATCGACCACATATTTACTGTACGCCAAGTTATAAAGCAAAAACACACATGCAGACGACCGTCTATGGTGGTTTTCCTTGACTTGAAAGCTGCCTTCAACTCTGTTGACCTCGCCAACTTGTGACACTACCTATCCATGAAGGGCGTGCCAGCTAAACTCCTTTCCATTCTGAAGTCTCTACCGTGATTCCCTAGACTGTGCAAGGGTCTATGAGAAACTATCTTCTGAGTTCCCCACAATAAGTGCGGTTCGCCAGGGTTATCCTTTCCTCTTCAACTTTGTGGTCGAAGTGATCATGAATGACTTGGTTCTTTCAGACTATTCTGGAGTGGAAGTTCTGCCAGGTGACTGATTGGCAAACCTAGAGTATGTGGATGACATAGTTCTCCTTGGATCTGATGCATTAGCTATGCAATCACTACAGCAAAGACCTGTGCGTAGCGCTGCATGCTTCGGCATGTGGTTTGCGCCTCCAAAATACAAAGTGCTATTGCAGGACTAGGCTGACACTCCTCTGGTTTTAGCTATTTCCGAAAAATCATTGGAAGTGGTGGATCGGTTCATCGACTTTGGTAGCTGTGTCAAATCTGGTGGTCACATCAATGAACAGGTGACTTGGCGTATCAGCAAGGTTTGTGCGGTTTTCAAGACTAAAGCACCTATGGAGACGGCGGGATATCAGTCTGTCAGTGAAAGTCTGTGTGTATAACGCTGGGATAAGGCCAGTGTTACGGTATGGGTCAGAGACATGGCCAGTTCTTAGTTAAAACATTAAATGCTTGGCCTTGTTTCACCGCAGGTGCATGAGAACTATTGCTCACGTTTGTTGGGAACACCAGATGGGCAATGCTGAGGTCCGACAGTTGATTTTTGGCAAGAAGCCTTTCGATGTCTCTCGAGTGTTTGATAAATCTCAGTCTCTTGTGTTGGCTAACCCATGTCCTCCGTATTGATCGGCTTCCCCGGTGTAAGTATACGTCGTGGCTGCACCAAGTTGGGCGAAACCTCGAGGTGGCCAGTCCATGACATGGCATAGAAAGTTAAAGAAATTGACTGAAAGGTTTGGTCGGGCTGGTGCGTGTCGTCTTCCTGGATGAGGGTCTCGGGACGACCCATACCAATGGTTGGACAACCTGTCAGACATGGCACAATCACGAAGCCAGTGGCGTTCTTCCATTCGGCTTCTTTCATCTGGTTATTAATTTTCGTTCCGTGCTGATTAGTCTAATGCATTTCCTTCTTGCTTTCATTTCTTCTACATTCTTTCTGCATCCAACCCCACTGTCCTACCGGTGTTATTTATTGTTATTCTTACGATGTGAGTCGTGGCAGCTAGATCCATCGCACTTCGGTGCTCGGATCATAGTTGATCAAATGTATTGAACTGCATTGTGGGCAAGAGGAATAAGTAGTCGTCAACCATCAGCGGCAGCGTCTCAGAAAATGGGCGGTTCCTAGCTGATCACCTGATCATCACAAGAGCTAGTATGACAGTGTCAAAACCAATATGGCCGGCTATATGGTTACTGATCACTGTGTTGATTCCAGAAGTGAGTACCTAACGGAGGATGGATGAACGAGCTTGCTGGCTACCGGATACTGCGTGGACTGCTATCGAACATCGAGAAGTTACATGAGCCACCTGTTTGTCGACGGTCTTCGTGTTCAGTGGCTAGTCGAACGTTCCAGCGAAATACGTAGATCACTCTGCTGTCTTGCAGGTTAGATCTTTAAGACCAAAGGCTCCGAGTCATGCCCCTTAAGTCAACTCTTCCTCGGCCTGGGCAACTGGGAAGTTCTCTGCCCACAAAACACATGGATCTCCGTAACACCTTGCTCTAACTGCCGATTCACCCTTTTTGTTGTTACCCATGGGTTTTGGCATTCATCTAATTGTGTGTCGGTCAAGCGTTGAATATATATATATATATATATATATATATATTACTACTGTGCTGAATTATAAGAAACCAAAGTTATTCTGACTAATAGGGAGAAAACGCTAAAGAAATTCGAGATTGGGGTGCAGTAACACGTGATGCTACTTAGCGTGAAGCTTATAGAGTCAGTCGCAAGAGCGGTTAGAAGTCCAATGAAGTGGCAAAAAAAGCGATGCGGCTTTTGAAGGGAGCATGTCACCACTGTCTCATGTTGCTTTTGACCGAAGTTTTGATCATATTCCTGCCCAGTATTTACGGTCGTTGGCGTATAATAATATCAAAGCAACGCGAGTCGTGTGAATGCGAGTTAGTGCTTCATGGAATGAATAAGGCCGAATAGGGAATTGTGTAATTGGGATCATTTGCAAAGACAATGGAGGTGAGCAGCTATAGCGCTGACACGGATCCAAGTAAACAAATCACAAAAAGTGCAGGGAGTCAAGAGTAAGTGATGGAGGGTCGTTGGTAATCGGATTCTTGTAAACTATGTGAAACAGCTCCGTATCCTACACGAATACAGGACATTTGCTGAAGTACCTGCCCCGGAGCATTCAAATGCTTACAAATACGCCACATGAAGAGGTCGCATCGATGGGAGCATCACAAACTAACACGAAATAAATGATTTTATGTTACGTTGCAGATTGCATTACATTACATTTTAAAGAAGAGTTGTGTTAGAAAATTGGGGCGGAAAATAAACTTACGTCCTTCGAGGGAGAATTTGTTGCGAAGAGGAAAGTTTCACACAGGAACTCAAACGAATGGGATTAGGATCACGAAGTTGTCCATCGAGTAGAGGGCGGCCAGGTCGAATTTCAAAAGTGACGTTAAGGGGATGCAAGGCAGGGGCACCTGAAATAAGGGCAATTAATAGACACCAATAAAGAATACGGAAAATAACGAAGATTCGGCAATGATAATTGTGACGTTGCCACAAGACAACATCTGAGTCAGTTAGTGGTAAATGAGATATAAAAAGGATTAATGAAAATAAGCTCCATCCATAGAGAAGGCAAACTCCCGACACGTCAACATCCTAATCATAGATCATCGTCCTCGGTGGGCCTTTGTGTGTTAAAGTGCTCTGTCGATGTAAAACGGTCAACTAACAAAGAGAAGCCCACCAACACAAAGAGAAACAGGTGTTTGTGGCTAGGAGCTTACGCGGTAATTTGTTCGCTGAACCGACTGACTCAGATGCAGATGCAGCATAATCGAAATGATGGCCAAAGATTGTGGAGAATTGCAATAACTAGTTTACATTTTTGAGGCGTCTTCATAACTCCATGCCTGAAAAAAATACTTGAGCTATGTGTTTGTGAGCCATCAGTAGGTAACGTATCGACTTGCCCGCACACTAGAGACCCTATCGATCGATATTTGCTGTTTATCAGAAACCCGCCTGCAAGATTCGAGCTCCGTACTTACCCGGAGATCCCCCACATGCGACACTGGCGGCACATTCTCATTGCGCCTGTCTGGCGATGATGCAGCTTCAAATGTCGGTCAAGCTGGCGTCGGCATTGTTTTGAGTCCCCGGGCTGAAGCTGCCCTGATCGATTGGATCCCAGTAAACAGTAGGATGTGTGCCGTTAGATTAGCTGGTTCCTTCCGTGCTACGAAGTCGCGCGGGGACAAACGGTGCCTGTTTGTCATTGCGGCTTACGCCCCTACAAACTGTAGCACCGATTCGGTAAAATATGATTTCTATCAGCAACTTCACGAGCTCCTTCGTTACAGAAGAAGCACGGATACTGTGGTGTTGGCTGGTGATCTAAACGCCCAAGTCGGAAAGTTGTCCTCTGATGAGCTTCATCTGGGCGGCCAACATGGTGTAGGCTCCCGTAATGATAATGGTGAGCGATTGCTCCAGCTGTGTGAAGATGCTCGCCTGTTTCTCGCGAGCACTAATTTTCGACACAGCACCCGCAGAAGTGTGACTTGGCGGCCACCAGCCTCGGGCCAGTCATGGACGCAAATCGATCATATCGCGATCAGTTACCGCTGGAGAGGCTGTGTCCAAAACTTTCGCTCGATTTGGAGCACGAGCGTGGACTCTGACCACGCACTTGTATGTGCCGACCTCCTGGTGCGTTTCGGTGGACGTCCGCGACGTCGATGTGAACGGATTGACACCAGCCAGCTGGCGAAGCCAGATGTTCTGAATGTGTACCAAGATGCGCTGACATCTGGGCTGAGTAAGCGCCCACTAAACACCGTTGAAGATCACTGGTCGCACACTCGTCAAGCGTTGCTATTAGCAGGCATGTCTTCATGTGGCAAAACAAATTGCAAAACCGGACATTGGGTCTCTACACAGTCTCTGGAACTTATGGATGCTCGCCGACATATTCCGGCTGGAAGCGAATACAATGAAGCTCGCAAAAATCTCAGGGCGAAACTACGTGCTAGCCTAAAGAAGGACCGCGAAACCTGGTGGTCTCATCGTGCCTCTGAGATGGAAACAGCCGCTGCCATTGGTAATCATCGTAAGTTATACCGTCTGATACGGGCAACAGGCAGCAGGAGACCTGATGTTAGCGAGACCATACGCGACGAGAGTGGGCAGATGATCCACAGCCTGTCAAAACGCTTGGAGCGTTGGGTTGAACACTTTGCTATGCAATTTAACCAACCTGAGTTATCACTTTCTTCGGGCATTGAGCGCCCTTCTCTTTGGGCCGTCTCCTTGGATCCGCCCTCACGCGCAGAAGTCGAACGTGAGATCAGGCTGTTGAAATTGCATAAGGCCGCAGGAGCAGATACTATTCTTCCAGCCCTCTTCAAGTTCGGTGGACCTGCTCTAATAGGTGATCTACACGAGTTGCTAGTAGAACTTTGGGAGCAGGAGACAGTCCCGACAGACTGGAACCGCTCCGTCATTGTCCCAATTTTCAAGGGAGGCTCCCGTTTGGTATGTGGCAATCATAGAGGGATCAGTCTGATTTCGATTGCCTCTAAATTGCTTGCCTCTCTCATTCTCCACAGACTGACTGGCACTCGTGAAAGCCAAATTCGTGAAGAGCAAGCCGGATTTCGTCGAGGTCGGGGCTGCATCGACCACATCTTCACATTGCGTCAAGTGTTGGAGCACCGCCATGTTTATTGGCGACCCACCGTTGTCGTGTTTCTTGACATAAAAGGTGCCTTCGACTCAGTCGATCGATGTGCCCTTTGGGACTGTCTGTTGAGGAAAGGTGTGCCTGATAAATATGTAAACATTATCAAAGCGCTGTACGCACATAGTTCGGGCAGGGTGAGGGTTTATGGCAAACTCTCGCCACCCTTCAGTATCACCAGCGGTGTGAGACAAGGATGCCCGCTGTCACCTTTCCTCTTCAACTTCGCTATTGATGAAGTCATGGAAACAGCGTTCGCTGGACACGACCTAGAAGGTGTGGAGCTACTCCCTGGTGAGCGACTTCTTGACTTGGAGTATGCAGACGATATTGCCCTAATCTTTGACGGCTCCCAAACACGCCAAACAGCACTGAACCGATTAGCACTGGCTGTCAGTCGTTTTGGGCTATGCTTTGCTCCATCAAAATGCAAAGTACTTCTCCAAGATTGGCAGGGACCCAATCCTGCGCTAACGCTTGGTGGTGATCTGCTAGAAGTCGTTCAGGAATTCAAGTACCTGGGCAGCTATATTAGCACCCGTGGGATTGAAGATGAGGTTACGAACCGTATATCAAAAGCTCGAGGTGCTTTTGTCAATCTCCGCCACCTGTGGCGCAGACGCGACATTACTCTCGCCCTCAAGGGCAGAGTTTACAACGCAGCCGTCCGTTCAACTCTCCTATATGGCTGTGAAACCTGGCCCATCAGGTCGACAGACATGAAGAGACTCGTCACGTTCGATCATCGCTGCCTTCGCAGCTTAGCTCATGTCTGGTGGGCAA